ATTCGTAACCACTACACTACCAGACTACGGTTCCCATTATTACTGATGAAAATGTCTCTGGTGGGGAATGGAGACCCTCCATGCTGAAGGGCTCTGGAGCACATTTGCTCTCACTCTACTGAGAGGGAAACTGAGGCGGTACCCATCCTACCCAAAGGCAAGGATGGATAAACAAAGTGGGCAGTGGGGGCCCCAGGTATCCTCACCAACATTGTGATGGCTCTGGTGGCAGTTCCGAGACTCCTGAAGGTCTGTGCTCAGGGTCTCACCTCACAGTCGAATGTATAATCCCAAATACTGTCCACTCAGTTCTCTGAGGCTATAAATAGAGGCTCCTTGTCCACGTGTGTGACCTGACCCCCCAAATACACACCCAGAACAAACAGATGAAGGCCACTCCCTGCTCAGACCCCGCCTAGAACACCCTGAAGCCTCCCTCCCCAGGTCCAATGGGGATCTGCCCAGCTCTGCCCTGGCCACAGTGTGGACCTACAGGAACACTCACTCACCCATGAGGACAGCTTCCTCGTCTGTAAAAGGAGAGACTCGCTTTGGAAACAGTCTCTACTTTTCTGTGATGCCTGGGTTCATCTTGTTGATTTTCTCCCATCACCCCATTTTCCCTTTGATTATACATGTACGTTTTTAAAGAAATACAGGTGAATTCAAAGGAATTATCTACAAGGGTCAAAAACAAACTTAAAATTGAAGAAGTGAGTGGGGCGGGGTGAGGTGGGGGTTAGGGGAGCTTAAACACATTGCACTTTTCCTCTATTGCTTATTATCTGATAAGCCGACTACAGAAACTGTTGTTGTGTATTGTGTGGTTTAGTGCCCTCAGGTCAGTGCAAACTCTTATCATCCTGGCAAAGGATGGTCAAAGAGTAACTTGTGGGTTTGCAAAAACAGTCTTAGCAGTCCAGTGTTTATCTTACAGTGCCACACCTGGGCTCCAATGGAAAATAAGAAATAAGAACAAAAATCCCCATAATCCCCCACGAGAAAGGAAACTACTGAGTCTGTTGGCATGTTTCCTTCCAGGCTGTTGTCTTCACATTCCATAGAGTCACCACACCCCTGTCTCTATGCAATTGGGCCAGTAAACATTAAAGGCCACAAATCTACCTCAAAACTATATTTGAACTTGACCTATACCTATGGAGCAGCAACTCAGAAGAGGGAACAAATCCTCACAGCAAGAAACATTCACACAC